GCTTGACGGAAGAATTTGATTTAACTTCGTTGCAGGAGCTTGCGAAAACGTTCCACACTCTGGACACGAACGGAGACGGTGCCCCTTGCACGCAGCCAGAGAGGCGGCAGTCTGCTGGCTTGGGCTCGAACACAACACCTGACAGCCTTTCATCCTTATCGCTTCATCTAAAATCTTGTGAGGAAGTCTCTCTGAGCGAGCTCAAGCACGCTATATCCCTGGTGGGCAAGCGCAAGGGTGCCAAAGGCAAGCGCAAGAACTCTGTCCCCTGGCCATTGAAACTTGCTTAGTTATTTCTCTTGTTTGTTTTCGCGGATTGTGGCTTGCAAGACGAGAAATGTTCCTTGAGAGAGACGAGGCACCACCCCCATGTGCCACATGTCAGGCCTGTAGTGCTTGGCAGAAAGCCCTCTGCCAAGAATAGTTAACGGCACAGGGTCGGCATCACATAGCCTTTCATCGGGTACAAAGAAGTCTTTGAGGTCTCCGGTCCTACTGATGGGGACATGCTGAAGCTTGTGGCGGTGGACCGGCTGCTTTGGGAAGTACAGACTGGGTGCAAAAGTTCCCGTGCGGACTGTAGATTGTAGGCGGGCATCTTAGCACCGTAGCTGAGCATCGGCTAAAGTTGCTAAAGCATCGAAAATTTCCAGTTCACGGGCCGCTGTACGGACCATAGGGAACAAGGCTGGCAGGCAGAATCCGCCATGGAACATTTGCCAACAGCCCCGTGCAGGGTTGGCCAGGGTTTGCCACAAGTTCTGCTCGGGAAACACCTCGACAAAAGTGTTGCATGACGGTGGAAGATGCCCCCGTTGCAAGGCGATGGATAGCAACGGTGACAATCGTTCCTTGGCTTCGGTTCATCTCGCTGCCAACTGGAAGGATGCTTTGTGTGCTAGTCCATCTGCGCGATCCCATACATAAACTTCTCGCAACCCTTCCGAAACCGACGCATTTCCGCTTGGACAGAATGCTGGATCAGGAATCAGCTACACCGAATTTCTGGCTGCGTGCCTGGAGGTGCTGCAGGGCTTCGTGCATGTTATGCATTGTTCCTATAGGAAACCGGATCCCTGTGCACTCGTTTCTCCTTCCCCTTATATCAGGGGTGCTTGCACGCGCTTCGTGGCTACTAGCCGCGCTGCACCAACGACTAACCTGCGATGGCGCCACTCAATTATCCGGGGCGGCGCCATGGTGCATGTTTCTCGCAACATACAAACAATCGAGGCTGTGTCGAGGTGCATGGCTTGTGTACAGCTTGTCCCAAAAGTCAGCTTGGATCCAGACCCCGATCGCAACAGTCCAGTACCGTGTGTGGACTGGTCAGACCGAATCGTGAGAGAAGTTACGCAGTTACACCCGTGCATGCCGCAGCCTTCTTAAGTCCTAGTCCCTTCGAAGGAGAAACACTACCACCAAGAGGCGGCTTGCTGGCATGCCTTTCGGTGCCTCAGACGGCACTGGTGTTTGCGCCGGGTCTTGCTGCGATGGCATATCAGGGCTCCGAGCGGCGGCCGAAAAGGGGGTGTACGCGTGAGGCAGTCTCTAGTATCTAGCTTCTGGATGATAGAGTGTGCCTTTAGGAATATGAAGGAGCTTTCGCAAGCTGTGTGGATCTAGATGTTGAAGTTGGGGCTTGTCGGCGTGCTGGTTTGGGGTCATCTCCGACCATGCTTGGATCCAGGACGGTCAGGCAATCATGGCGAGGACGAGAAATCGCAAACCATGGGGCGAACAGCTTAGTCTTCAAACAGCCGGCCGCACTATCCTAGGTTCTTCGATCGGGACAACGATGGCAAGATCACGCGGCAGGAAAGAGTTTGCGAATTCCTAAACCCCACTGCGTTGGAATTTGCTCCTCACGAGGAGCTCCTAGAGGCCCTCAAGGACGAGGAGTTCGGGGATATGCCGGGGTCTCAAACAGGGGTCGCTGATGCGCCGCTATGCCGCTGCCGCTATCCACTGGTGTCGGGGTTGTGTCGCTAGTTTCGCATGGTCCCTGGACGGTTAGGAGCACCGAGCCCGACAATCCGACAGAACAGAGGGAAGGGTGACTCCTCAACCTGAGGCCCAAAATGCCAAAAGAGCCCAAGCGGCCCTCATATTCGAGACCGAGAGTTCGATTTTTTCCATGCCGCAGACTGCCTCCGTCCACGCAGTGCTGCACTCCCTGGTAGTTTGTCGTTTCTTTTGTCACGGAGCCTGCGGCACTGTCAGGGTGTTGTCAGTTGCATGATTATGCTCCAGGCTGCCGCAGAAGGTCATCGCTGACCTGGTAAAGGCAGGCGACAGCAACGGGAACCACACCTTGGATTTCTACGAGTTCATGGCTGCTCGGAACCCTTCCTTCGATGTTTGCTTCAAAGGTTCCTGCTAGGGTCACGGGTTCTTTGATGTTCCTTGCTTGCGTGCACTTATGCGCAAGCGCAAACGAAGGGCTTGCATCTTAAGCAAGGCAGCGACGGCGCAGCTTTGGAGTGTGGCGCGGATTAGTTGATAGGCCAGGACAGACCGTAACCCAACACATTGCGAGAAGTAGCAGTCGTGCAGCCGTAATTACTTTAAACTTTCCGAGCAGCTCCTAAACATTCCTACTGCCTCGCTGCATGCCGAGGCTTTGGTGCAGCCTGACCGGGAGTGGACGGCGCCGCAGGTGGCCTCACAGGGCAAGGACGGCAAGGATGCAGGCGGACTCTGTTTGGGCTTTTGCATATTCCCGCTATCATGACAATGCAGTATTGAGGCTTACCTGGAAGGGGAGTTGCGGATGCAACTGTCTGTAAGCTTCTCTCGAGAGTTGTCGGAATGCAGGTTTTGGACTACCTTAGTACTCGGAACATAGCCGTGCTTGATAACCCTGCGCTGCACAATGTTTCGGTCCCTGCAGAGGCATGGACCAACAGCCTCAAACAAGCAAAAAATCTAGCACGGCTACAATCGACCCACAAAAGGAGTTGAGACCTTTGCACGGATGCAAGGCCCCGGGCCACCTTCGCCGCTGAAGGCTGACCGCCGGAAGCGCAAGAACTCGAATGTGGGGCTGTCGGGCACCGAGATCAGTACAGCATTTTTTCTGGCGGCGGGGTGCGTGATTGAAGTCATTCCAAGTCACGTGTCCGCCACCCCGCCACGACTGTCATCGTCAGTGCCGCAATCACCAGACATCACCAGACGCAACAGCACTGGCGATAAGTTATGTATCGGTTTACAGTTACATACTGATGCAAGCACATGGCACTTCGTCATTGAGAAGGCGACGGCTCGAAGTCGGAGTGTGCAAAACCACTGTTGACAATGTCGCTGCCATAAACAGAAACGCCGGTGGCGGTGCTGATGGTGTTCGTCGTGGATGACAGGGTGATGGAAGAGATCACGACGACTGTGATGAGGGTTCTGTTGAGAGTGGGTTTGGGTGTCGCGCGACAACACTAGCGGCATTGTAGTTAGACGCATCATTAGACAGTAGGCTTGATCCGTCATAACTGTTCAATTCAAGGTGCCCCTCATGTGGCCAGAGCCGCCAGCTCAAGGACTGAAGCTAGTTTTGCGATGCTTGAGGCATGCTTCATGAATATTATAGGCTTGGAAAGAGCAAGAACCCATCGGCTTCCACCGTTGGAACAAACAAAGCAAGAACATGCATGGCCCTGCAGGATCGCGACAAGAAAGGCTTGATGTGCGCGGGCTGCTGGATGGCACAGCAGTGATCGCTTTCATGCAGGCATCGGCCGCTGCTGTCAGTTGGCAGATGTTGGCAGTGCATGGGAGGTGACAGACGTCGAGGCTTCGCAGGCTTGTTGGCATTCGGAGCATCCCCACGGTCCCCACACACGGAAATCACCAAGTCCAGAGTCCAGGGATTCTGCGGGGCCAGAGCTTGATCAGCGAAAAGGACCAGATTCAGATGCCGAGGGCTTGTCAAGCGCATACTCCGCCACAGGAATGTGGACCCAGGACACGTTCTTGCCATGTGAGAGTTCCTCACTGACCGCTTAGGTAGGGAGTTGAAGAATCGAATCGAATCACTGACGATTGTTTCTGCAGGCTTGTAAGCCGATGCTTCTCAAGCTGCCTTGATGCCTCGAGAGCATTCCGGCATCTCTCATGTTCTCACTTCGTTCATGTACCTTAATTTCTGCTGTCGGAATGCCCATCCTTCAGTGGAGCTCACTCGGGATTGGAGACTATTCTTCACCTCCCCTTCTTCGGGCAGATGCCCTTGTAGTTCTGGCAGCTCGCGGCTGCTGCAGTCTCACTGTTCGTCGTGAGCTCTAAGAGCTGCACGCACGTCCAGGACATACAGGCGTGCCGAAACCCACCAGCGCTGTGAAGCAGACAAGCCAGTCAAGCTTGCCTGTTCTAAAATCCTGCTGTGCAGCCTTCGGACTGGTGTGAGGCATGAGCTGTTGGAAATTGAAACGTTTTGAATAGATGGCTGGTGCCAATGGTTTCCATGCCGTCATAACGCTATCAAGACATGCATGGTACCGGCAAGGAAACCTTTCGGGCAGCCACGGATTTTGAATCGGGTTCTGATAAGGCACCCTGCGACTGTCAGTGAGCGTACCTACCTGGACCTAGCGGTTACCGCCCAGCCTTCTGCTCAGCTCCTTCTGCGCGCCCCGACCCTACAATCTGCATCAGGAGCATCTCGGTGTTATAAATATCACTGGTTGCATGACAAGTCGTCTGGGTGCATGCAGTGCCCAAGAGTGCCGCGACATTGGCGCATAGACTCGAGCATACCGGTCTTTCAAGAAGGCTAGCGATGCAAAACCCAATGCCCAGGGGCCGTTGCGGGCTTGGGATGAGGATTGGGGAGAACACGGTTTACGTGCGAGTGTTCACCGTCATGGGGATTTTCTGCTGACTCTTGGAACGACATACTCCAGCATGTCGACGTGACAAACCAACCCAACAGCCCCGAAGCGCGCTCGTCCAATTCGCAACCCTCGCAAGCATGTAAACTAGAAGCCACAAGCCCGAAGACCGAGGCCTTCTCTTCCCTGCTTCAGCGCAGGGCACGCAGCCTGGTGGCAGAGGACGTGCTGCGCCCGGCGGCTGGGATCGGGGCCGGTTCGAGTCTCTCAGGGCTGCCTGAGCAAAGCTGAAAGAGGGCAAGTCGCAGCTTTTGGCATTCTCGCTAGAGCTCGTGCCCTATGAATGTTATGCTTCTGATTGATTAACCGTGGCACTTGTCCTTGCAGAAGTAGCTAACAGTTGGAGTAGAAGCAGCGTAGTACGTGTAGCCGCCGTCGTCGCATTGGTATCGATGAGGCAGAAGCAGACGTCGTCTTGAAGGGGGGTGGGGTGGTGACGTCATGTTCCAGCTCATTCCCAATGTTCATCATCCTTACTCTACGTATCCCTAACCCTGGTTGTTGCCCCACCTTCCCCTTCCATAAAACGACTGAGCTCTTCTAGCACACTCAATCGTATTGTCTGTACTATACTATATACCGTATACTGTGCAGTATGCTACATACTCTATAGTCTAGTATGTACAAATCTCTGCCCCCATTTTGTTAAACACCGCCCTAATCATGAGAAACTTTGGGCCCAACCCTCCTGAAATCATCCCCGCCCTTCAAAAATCTTCAAAACTTAGTTTGAAGTTTTGCACTGGGGGGTTCAGGAGCAAGACGAGAGCAGGAGTAAGAACACGAACAGGAGCAGAGCAAGAGCAAGATTCCCTAAGAGTGACAGCACGTATACCAGCCTATATACTACATAGCACGCTCAGAATGCACTATGTACCTATATAGTGTGTACATATATACTTACTAACTTAACTATATAGTAGATATTTATTGCGTAGTATAGTATCTAATCTGCAGCATGCTTTATGCTATAAAGGTGTCCCAATATACTCAGGTGACAGGTGGTGAGAGCTTAAGATGTGCATGTCCAAACATACGTGCTGTCCTGCAAGACTCCCAAACATTACTTCTTAGTGTTTTGGTTGGAAAACACAAGTTAGTGACTCGTGTTTACGCCGCACCTTTGTAGGACCGCCTCACCACTGTACACGAACAGTTCGAACATTGCACAGACGCGTGAAGTCTTGCATTTTACAGCATTTGGAGGCCTCTGAACATGTGGGACTGCAAATCGCGCAACGAAAAAGACCGATCAAATTGTTATCCTGCTCATTCATCCAACAAGTATAATTCCGAAATTTGAATCCGTGAGGTGTCCGCAGCATGAATCATCAATACCCGCGAAGTGCTGAAAAACACAGATTGAAGGATATTTCGTGAAAAGCGATGCGCGCAAAGAAAATTAGCGACACGACGCCCAGCATCAGCAGGAGCAGGAGCAGCAGTAGCAGTAGCAGTAGCAGCGGTGGCGATGGTGGTGGATCCCGGATGATCCCAGTAATGAATCCTCACATATCTTCACTGTGTGTGAGAACCCTTAGCACAGTTTTTTGCACCCCAAGCCCTCGATCTGATGTGAGGGTCCAGTCCTCCAGCCGCTGAGGATGGTTTCGCTTGCGCGCTTTTCGAGGCTGCCTAGCAGTAGGGGTGTCAGCGGAGGCCGAGATCTGAAACAGAATGATTTCGGAGATTTTCTCGAAAAGCCGCAAGGAGTTAAGTTCTCATCTGGACGTTCGTCGAATCTGGCTTGATGAGATAGATTTTTGTTTTTGGCTTCGGATGTTGGTGTATCTACCCGTCCTTGCTCGTTTCGTTGGTTGTTGGTCTGTTGGTTCCTTCTGAAGTTAGTTGCCACTGGATGCCATTTCAAGAGGATCTCTCCGATCGCCACACCGGTCACCATCCCAGAGCGGCAGGCTTACAAGGCTCTCGAGCAGAAGGGGGTTGTCCTCGTGTGGCAGCCAACGGACGTGGCATCGGCCTAAGCCTTGCGGGTTTTGACCACGCCGGACTCCGCTGGACAAAGCTCGCACGAGTGCAGTAGGACAGGGCTAGCACAGGTTCAACTAGCAATTGAAAGGCACCTCAGCGAGATACAGAAGGGCCTCCACCAAGACAGCACAAAATACGGGCAACCGTCACGCCGTGCGATGCCGTGTGGAGAGGAGCGCGAGCCGTGTGAAAATCACAGAAGTGATGAATGGACACCTGCAGAAGTTCCCAGTAAATCAACCGGCTGCCAAATGCAGAAATCGTTGCTGCGAAGCTTACGATGACAGCACACACGCAGCAGCAGCAGTGCAGAGCTCTTACACATTAACCCAGTAAAGCTGTATGCGCAGCGCATCATTGTTTGCACGGGCATCAGGATCAAGTCCTCCAGTGGTGCCGAAGCCGAAAACCCTGATGATGCTCCGTCGATTGCGTTTGCATGCGGCCCAATACCTTGCACAGGACCTTGCCATTGCCAGTGTTTGGCCAGACTGTGCGGTTGGGAGCCTAGTTGTGTTGAGCAGCAGGGGTCTCCGTACTTACTTTGTGAAGGAAATGTCCGATACCGACGAGTCTGGGAGTCTGGCTGCTTGGACGTCACGTTTGTTATACCTGCCAAACAAGAATGCGCGCGATGCAACAACACCAGAAATAGTCGTTTGAGGTGTGCTAAGCATTCACACATGCTCTGTCAGCGCGGGTCGCAGCGCTTGACCTCGGGTTTACGCTGGCTGCTTGCTCCTTCGAATGCTGAAATCCGAAAATCCGAGCCCAGTAGGCCCCTAGCAACTGGATGCCATGCGAACACCAACTTTTGTTATTTCGGGTGTATCTGAGCCATTTCCCAGGCGCCGGCGCCTCTTATGCCACTGAGCACGAAGCTAGCAGATCGCTGCCTGGCTGGAGCTGGCTTTGCAGATGCTGCAGATATTCGCTGGCCGCGCAAAACCCATGTGAGTCACGAAGGCTGCCTCCGCCTTGCTGCTGCACCCTCAGCTGCCTCAGCATGGAATTGCCCGTCTGGAGTCTGGAGTGTGGCATATCTGTCTTGAGTTGAATGCAGGCATCACAGTCAATATGAACAGGCGACGCAGTGCCATAGCATGACAGTCCTCTCTTGTGAAGCATTGTGAAGCATTTAAGGTACAATCGCACCTGGTTGTACATAAAAGGGCGGGCTTCGAATGCAGCCTCCGACTCGTATCCATTCTTCACCTCAGCAATCGGGAGCTTGATGGCTTCAGCCTTCGAATAACGTCAGAAAACTAAGGGTTGCATCTTGTTGCTTTCATGGAAGCCTGACAAGGATCCTGACCTCGGGCTGGGCCGGCTGTTGGGCATCCTACCAGACGGAAGGCTGTGCGAGCGGTGCTAGATCCCTTGTGCAAAGCAATGCCAAGCAATCAACCTGTGATCTCTCGGGAACGATGTTGGCACCAGGCTTTGAAAGACACAACGGGCCACAGTGCTTGCTTCCAGCAGGCCTAGAACGGCTTTGGCAACCTGGCCGGCTGATGTGGTCAGCATCCTCGGACATGACCTGCAGAGTAGAATCCAGTCGGTTGCTGCAAGAAGTCATGTCGTTGTTGCACAGCAGAGGCTGGCTGGTTCTCTGCAGAAATATTCAGAGTTTGGATGCATGGCTGGGCTTGACTTTGATGCTCAGCATGGCCTGCAGAAACACTTTAGCAGTATTCCAGTCGGATTGTGACGTCACATACCCAGCCCTCGATTCCTTGAGAAGGTGCTTCCTGGCGCCGAGCACGGGGAATTCACAGTGGCTGGTCGCAGGCAGTAAGTAGGTTTTGTATTTTGTCTCATGAGGCTTTGGGCTGGTTGGCTTGCGCCCTTGCAGGCTCACTGTACACAAGTTCTGCTGGTTTCAATGCTTGGCCATCAAGTTGAAGGTCTCCGGGGTGTTGCATGGCATGCAGGATTTGGAGCGAGACGGTCGAAGGTCAGTGCCAGACCCAGACGTGCCATGCCGGGTGAAGATCTCGAGCACGTCTTCGCATGCACCGTGGAGCAGCGCTGAGGTTTGCCTCGGCTTTGGCCATGACCAAGCACGTGTTACGCACCGAGAGCGGGAACATTTCAAACGGGCACAAAGATCGTAATTGTTGTGGAACTCGACTCAGACAGTTCTTGAAGCATGCATGCATCCTCTTAGTAGATCCTCGTATATCCGCATGCGACATTCTTGTACGTAATGTCTGATTCGTGTGGCATGCCTGTGAAGTGTGGTTCTACGGCCATTTACGCATGGCAGTGCCCAGACTTCTCCAGCCATTTCCGAAGCCTGTGACTCCACTGAACTCGCACTTCGGAACTAGAGGGTTTGATTTGGGCTTGGGAATTGTTCAAGGCTCCATAATTCTGTGTAGAATCCAAACATTCCGCCAAGAAGCCTTCAGGTTGCGGCTCCTCTTCTTTGCCTCTGGGTGCCGCGGGCAGGGTCCTGGGCCATTCCGTCCCGGGCCTGAGCATGAAAGGACGCTGTCAGGAAGGTCTAGCTCCATATATCAGGACCGCACCGGAAGCAGACACGCGTGATTGCAAACATGTTTGGCATGAGCCATTTAACAGCGTGCTGATCGGCATCTGCTTTGCCCGATGCAGTATGCATGCACCACGTGGAATGTGGCTTTTTTATGGACATGGAAGTTCCAGGCTACTCTTTGCTTCAGTTTCCGCGAAACTTGGCTCCGGAGGACCAGGGTGATCGCGAGTTACAACAAACTGCTTAAACACATTGAAACTGAGCAGTGCAGACAAAGAGCTGCTGGATAGGCAGAGAGCTGCGGCTCCTCACTCGCACAAAAACAGGAGAGATGACTCTGCTTGGGGATGTGTTTGTCAGGACAAGCCTTGGGTTACCATCGCCGTGCGCGATTCTGTTCCTCGGCTGGTTGTTTGGATATCAGATGAACAGACAAATGGGGTCCGGCGGCTGAGCTACTCGTAGGAGTGAACTTTTCTGGTGCATCCCTGGGAAACTCCAACTTGGAGCTCCTCACCACGCAACATGAAACTACCTTGAACTACCAGTGCAGCAAGCAGAGCGTACCGCAGCACTGTTCTTCCAGACTCCCTGGACTGCATGAGTACAACCTGTGGGCGCCGAGGTTCCATGGAGAAGCTTGGATCGGCACCCCGAGGCTCGATCACGATTTTGGGGTTAGGCAGCTTGTGAGCCAATTCTCGGTTTCTCGGCGGCAGCTGAGGATCGTAACAAGAGACTTGCGGCATCTCGCTGCATGCAGATCTGACCCCCAGCGAGAGCACCTCCCAAGTGGAAACTCCAACCTCGCAGTGACCTCACACACGAACGCTTTCCGGGCGCGCTTCAGTCGCGTGTCGACAGCTGTTGATCAATGGCGGCCACGACTCTTGTTTAGATGATTAAATTCGAAGCACTTACTACAGCTGATGTGCTGCATCACCCATTCAAGAACCGTTGTCATGCCTTGGCATGGACAGGCGACAACCACCCACACGGAAAATTCAAAAAGGGCAAGGATGGGAAGGGATCTCAATATAATGTGAACCTTCTTGGTCTTCCACTTGTATCGACACCGTCCGTAAAATTCCATGCCAGTCCACGTGGAGAATTCTCAGTCGTTGTACTGGCGGCGGGCTTTGTGCACCAACAGCGGCTGCAGTGCACGAAGAGCAGGAAGCTCGGTGGATAACCCTTTACTTGCCACGGCTGTTTCCTAGCCTGTACGTTTCGCTTTCCCTTTGCGAGTTGTGAGCCTTCCTGTTCGTCTTGACAGACTCTTGGTCCAAAACCGCCAAGCATAACGGCTAGCCTTGATGATGCGCCAGGGATCGGCTACCTGATGATTCATGTTTACTCGGTTACCCAATCCTCCCCGTTGCCTGCCTGCCCTCCTGCAAATTGTGCTGACATTGACGCGAGCGAAGCCTGGACCCATAGTCCCAGATATCGTGAATCGTGTGGGAAGGCTTTGGCTGCACCACACAATGGCCACTGCTCGAAACATGGTGATGATGCGAAAGCGAGTGAGCAACCATCTTCACAACCGCTGTTTATGATTTCATGGCTCCTCCTGGCACAGCCACTTTGGATTTTGTCTTCCGGGTAGGTCAACGGTGTGTCGCACCCGGGTGTCCTGCTTGTTGCTGCCACCATAGCACAGCATGTCAGCCGCATCTAGTCCGAGCAAAAACCAACTACAGTGTTGTCGTTCTCGTTCTCGTTCTCGTCGTCGTCGTGGTGGTGATGGTGGTGGTGGTGGTGGTGTGTTACCGGCGCTTCTCTCCCCTATCGCATTTGTTTGTGTGCCACCAACTATCCGAGAGAAAAGCTTCGGTGAACGGAAACCGATCTCAGCCCCACCGCAGACGGGGCGCACTCGCGTTTGGCTGGCGGTAGGCACGTTAGCTCAAATACTTGCACCTCTGCTTGGTAGGTCTCCCTCGAATGAGCAAGGGCCGACGTAGCTACGCCCATCACTGGAGGAGAGAGCGTCTTCGGCCCCTTGTACAACGAAGGGCACACCTACGACGAGACATGTGCCAAGGGAGTGGAAGTCGGCTCAACACCATCACGACCAGCAGAAGTGCGGGAGGGTGTAGATCGGGGACCCGCGAGGCCACAATCTCAGCCCCAAAGGATGCAACCTACAGCAGCGAAGGCAGAGGGGGACATCAGTCCTCACACTGCAAGCGCCAAAATCCAGCTGTACATGTGCCCCATCTGATGAACGGATGCACACCCAGCTATCATGACAATCCCTTTCGTCCCTCGGACGACACAAAAGGCGAGTTGACTAGATCCACCGGCTGTGTCCCAAGCCAAAGTAAATAAAGACCCGTGCGCGCTTGTGCACGGGAGGGCGGGCGCTTGCTGATGGTCCAATTCTCACACAGACGAACCGGCCAGCGTGCGTTGGTGCAACGGAGAGCGGCGTTTCGGCTTTGCTCTTCCTGGCTGTGCAGAAGAAGGGCTAGCGGGGAAGCAAGCCATGTTGGTTCAAGCCAGGTTCAAGTTATTTCAATTCAAGTTGCCTTCAGCCTACGTATTTTGTGGCGATCGTTTGAGCAAATTCCCCCGCCAATTCAACTTTCTGCGGTCAGAATCTGCCGTCGAAGCCAAACCAAAATCAATTTTTTGAGGGGGGCCACAAGGGGGATAGGATGGATAGGTCACTGGGAAAGGATTAAGGGAAAGGCACAGAGGTTCCCGGAGAGGCTAGGCGAGTTTAGCACAGGTTCTTGTTTCGGGACTACATCGAAAGCAAAGTTGTGGCAATGACGCGAGGCAGCAGAATGTGGATGTGAGCTCCGGTAAAGGGGATGTGCTGCCCTGTCTCCTGTAGGGGCCACTGCACCCCCCCCTCTTATGAGTCTCGTTTTGCATTGCGCTCATGACGGTCCCGCTCCCGTCACAAAAAGTGCGGCACCAAAAAAGTCCCAAACATTCTCTGCCTCGCCCTCTCCTGCACCCCTGCATGGCTGGCCTGGCTGGCCAGCTTTCGTCCAGCTTTCTTACTTCTCCTTGCTGTACTTTGAGGAATACCATTGACAAGGGCTCATAGAGGGGTCAGAGGCCGGCCAGCGCACAGCATGGCATGGATCACATCTAAATACGTGACAACTGGCTGTGTCCAGAAGTTGAGAAGCTTCTGGCAGTCATTGCATGGCCTGTCGCGTTGCATCGCACATGACAAGCAGAATGCTCCCTGGCAAGGTCTACCAAACGACTCCGCGACTTCGCCCGGTGAAATTATGCATTACTGAGCTGAAAGCTCTGCGCCTGGAAGGCCCCACGAGCCGTCGAATGATGGTTGATGTTCACCATGTGCGTACGTTGAGGTGATCGACGTATCTTCGGCATGTCGCGCTTCGAAATTCAGAATTGCATCTTGCACGGATCCAGGACATGACAGTTCCATTTGAAGTGCCGTTGAGCCTTCTCCCGTGCTTCGATCTGGCCCTTATCTTGTCAGCTTCGTGAGCAAAGTGTGGCTATAGAAGCCTCGCATAGCCTTGCCATGTCCTGCTCGAGCGTGGGTTCGGTCTCGGTTGCTGCCCGCAACCTTGGTACATATGGTACATGTATGTACTTGCAAGTTGCTACCTACGTGTAGTCGTGTGTGCTTCATGTGCATTGGAGAACGTGTTTCGTGCCGTTGCGTGGCAGCGAGTATGAGACTGTCACGGTGTTGTGCACTCGCAACATCAGGCTTCCAACACAGCCGGTGCATATCCGTCCACACATTGTGCGTATTAGCTAGTGCTAGTGTGCGCCCTTCCGACGCATCGGCTTTTGCCAAGAATTGTAGTGTGTGGCATGTGAGTGCAGCGCATGGTTTTTTTCTCCTCTTCGAGGGTAAATTACGTAGCCGTGCTGGATGCAAGTCACACCACAGCAACTCAAAGATCTCCGAAACAGTCGTTAGCCCTGTGCATCGTGACTTGCTTTGCAGAAATAGATTCTGATCAGGAGAAGTTGTTGCTGAAGATGCTGCGGGCGGAAAGGCCAGGTACATGTCAGCGCATACTCTTGAAACTTGTGTTTGAATGTCAGTCGTCGGCTGCAGGTTTCCAAAGGTTGGCGATTGAGCCGGGCCCAAGAAGATCGATAAATCGCTTTGTGCAGCTTATGTGTGCCGCCATGTTCACCACGTGGCTGAAAATGGTGCGTCTTGTTCGAGGTCCCGGGGGTGATTTGCCCGCGGTCGCACCGCCTGATCCCCAGAAAGCAGACAACAGGCATGAATATGGGCAGGAATTTGCAGGGGATCCAACGCAATTCGGAGAAAGAGCGAACATCTAGCACATATTGTCCAGCGTCAGCATGATGACCAATGGCAGCCATTTGCCAAACAGCTCAGCCGCATGCCACATTTTTGCAGGACTGCAGTCTTGGCTGCGGAGCTGTTGGGGGTCAAGTCGGATGCCGGGCGCCTTTGACGTAAGTGTTCGGAGCTTTGAAGTGCAATTCTGGCCAAACATGTCTACCGTGTACGTTTTTGGCAAGACCACGGATTCCATGAGCGCCCCGAGGCTGTGACATCGCCGAAAGCATGCGAAAAGCCACGAGCTCGGGAGCAACAGTAACAACATTGTTGTGGCAACGCTCCTGGACGGTGCTCGGATATCTGCCGCGGATACCGGGATACCATGTGAAACTCCAGTTGTGCTCCCATGAACCACGTGCCGTGTGCACAACACACTGGCTTGTAGCTCAAACCGGGATGAGCGCTATCACCTCGAGGCCCTCGCAAGGATTGGCCGAGTTGGTCAGCAGCTGTAAGGAGGTGGTCGCCCGGCAGGGTCGAAGATGGATTAGATTGTTTGGTGTCAGGCCGGGGGGGTAACTAAGGAACACCTGTTATTCACGGAAGCCAGCAGGTGGTCCAAAGTAGGGACATGTAAGAGGGCGCTTGTCCTTCGGCCGAAGTGCCGGAGAACAGGGCAGAAGTGGTTTGCCGAATGATCTTGTGTGCTTGGAGATTTGTTCGCGTTTTGAGGATTCTGCGACCCTCATTTTCGACACGGCCCCGAACGAGCTGAAGGCTACCGTGCCTGCCACGAGAGCGCCTGGCCTTGGCTGGGGTTTGGAGCGCCTCAGGGATGGTGGCACGAAGTCTATTTTCCAGATGGCTTGAGAAAAGTGCTGCTTCTTTTACGGAAAGTCTCACTCACTCACGCTCTGGCCTTGCCGAAGCTACTATGGCTTCTGCGAGTTCTGAGGCACTCCCTGTGGACCTCTGCTTCCAGGTCTTGGCGTGCTTGCTTTTTGTTGATGGTTTTGAAGCTTCGTGTAGCAAACGTTCTTCCCCACTGGCATGAGTGCCAAGCCTGGTTGAAGCCCAGACTTAACAAGATGACTTCATCTGCCCAGCAATATTGATCACCATCCTTGAGCTGTACTTGTACAATTCACCACGGGCTCGCCTGCAAGGCTCGTGGTGCAGAAGAGTTCTTGACCAAGACCTTCGAAGTGCCGCAGCACTCAGCTGGGCGAGTGTGAGCTTGTCCTGTCATGAAGGGCTTGTAAATGAAGGCCAAGGATCAAGCACGTGTGGACTCATGCAGCTGAGAAGTGAAAGACCTTGGCTTGTTAAGGCCACGGCGTGGCCACATGCAGACGGAAGCCATGTTGCTCGGCCGGGGCCCCAAGAACCATTTATCGGTTCTGCTGGGTGTTTTCGCAAGTTCGTCAAACATGGAGTGCATCGGCGGTTTCCCTGTAATTGCTCACGTGTCGCAGCGCGGCCTGCTGTGGAAGTAAGCTGTGCTGTGGACATGTCACTTCCGTCGTAAGCCGCGGCTCAGCCCGGGCAAAAAAAACTAAGTCTCTGGGTTTTGCTGATTTGCATGAACCTTGTCGGATCCCGCACCACAGGGTCCTGTATATGTCACGGAAACGCGAAGAAAATACTGCCCTAAGTTGCAAGACAAACTGCCCATGCTGACTTGCTGTGGCAAAATCCTGCCGATGCACTCACACGCTTTGCCGAAGTCCAGGTGCAAGCCTTGCACGCCTGGCGATCCAGAATGAAGTCGCCTCCTGCTGAGCATTGCACAGTCATGCTTCGACTTTTGTGGTTTGCATTCTCGGCTCCTGTCTTTGGCCGAAGCTCTTCTCAATGTGCCCCTCCAAATGCTGGATGGCGAATGCAGTGAAATCTGTTATCTCCGCCACAGCACTGTGAACATCTGAAAGCAAGTCTGAACACTATCTGGCATGCCACACTGCAATCCGTGAAGGGACCAAGTTCGAAAGCCTTCCGGGATGCACCCTTTCAATCTTGCCATTTTCACATAAAGCATAACGCGAAAGCAAACGATAGCAAACCGGACGCTGCCGAGGCGCCCTTGGAGTGGACAAATGCCGCTGCCGCACTGCAACGGGCGGAGCAGGAGCCGAAAGAGTCACCACACGCCGCCAGAGGGTGTTGGCCAAGATCCCAATAACCGCCGTGCGTTTCAGCCCAAAATGAGCACATGAGCGCATCAGAAGCATATCCGAAGCCTTGAAACACTCGACGACAGGGACGACTTTTGTGAGAACAGAAATCCTTTATTTACATACTATCTACACTTCGGCAAAGATAATTAGTAGTCTTTGCTTGTCGAACTTGGCTTGAGAAGAAGTAAGTCAGCGACAGCCAGAACAGTGATGCTGAATCCACGTCAACTGTCTACTTAGCGCCTTGATCGAGCGATATAGAGAGTCTTAGCCTTGTGCGGATTAATCTGTTTACAGGAACAAACCACATAGCCTTCAATCTCAAGAGTTTGAAGGATTCAGGCGCATGTTAGAGCGCAAGTGGAGCCCTTGGCTGTCTGGATACCACAGACTTGAACTTGCAGGGTGTAATTTGGTTTACATTGTGTCAGCATTTGGAGGCAATACTCAACAATACTTACGGTCTGCATTGCGGGGCAAATAGCCTTGCAAAGTAGCATTCTTCAATTTGTGCAAAGGCTGAAGGCGGGATCATTGCAGTGGCAGGCGCTACACGGCTGCTCGAGAAGCTTGCAGCAACTCTACTGTGCGGAGCTTTGGATGGATGCGAGCGTGAGATCTGGTAGCTGGTAGCTCTGGTAAATACTAAGTGTGCTTTCTTCTATGAAAGTGTTATAGGGTTAGGTTTCACTTCAAGCGCAAAGCGCAGGGCCTGCCTCACCTAAGCGACAGTCGGAACTCCATGAGCAGCCAATGGTCAACCCAGAGCAGGAAAAATTGGGGGGCGATGGCACTGCGAACATGCTGCTGAATTGCTGCATGTTCCCATAGCCTGGCAGTGGACTGATTCCGCCGATTGGCCCGATCCTGCAAGAGCACTTCCCAAAAAACCATTACCTCCCCTATGGACAGATACGCTTTCTCAGGTCGTGAGATGCCAGACTGGCTGCTTACAGAATCAGCACCAAGCAGGCGCCCTGTCGTTCCAAGCCAATTGATTCGAAGTTGACCGGTACCGGTACCGCCTCAGAGAAAATTTACCTCGCCGCCTTACAAATGTTTTGAAGTTTGAAGTTCACAGGGTGACCGGGTGTGCTTCTCAAAGCCCGCCGCAGATCAAAGCCGCGGTGTCGGACACTGTGCAACGAGGCCAGGGCTTCGGCTTCGCACTAGAGCAGGCCACAGGCGGCCACTCTCCACTCAGCGGCACGCTGCCTTTCAATACGCAGTCTGCTCATGTCTTTCTGAGAGGTCCTTGGTACATGTTGTTTTTTGAGGGCCCAAGAGCGGCCCAAGGGGTCTTGTCGTTTCTTGGAGCATCAGTCGCGGACGCTTGCTTGCGCCACCAGCCCAGGAGCTGAACTCTCAAAGCCACGGCCCCCAAAACGCGGACCCAATCCCTAAATCATAGCGCACCGATTCCCTGCTGTCTTGCGGCAAGGCAGTTGGTGACGTGGTCGAAGCATGGAGGGGTTCCCAGATGTTGGGGGAGGTTTGGAGATCTTGCGTCACTGTTTACAGGGATCCTTGGAGACCCAGCCTTCTCTGAGCATGTTCGGATTCTCGCAGTGCAGGTAGAGTTGGGGTCGGTATGCTTGCCACTGAATCTTCACACGCAGGGCCAGCTTGTGGCCATGTCAACTGAACAGATGTAACAACAGTTGTAAAACTTCCATCCGTGTGCTGAATGTTATGCATGATGCAACAGCCTTCTGTTGCAACCAGATCTTGATCGGTGCCAAGGAAGCTTCTGTCCTCTGAGAGCACCGTCACAGACCTTGGCGAGTACTTCACTAATCAGTTCCTGTCCTTGAGCTGCTACGGTGCGCGGCTTGAGCTAGCCTCTTGAGTTGTAGAGTTGACGACTCAGGCGCTTGGGTTTGGGGATCGGTTTCGGCTTCGACTTGCGGGCCATTGCAGAGTCCGTGATCCGGTTTTAAGTTCAGTTTCGAAAGCTGCATCTCGGCCACATCCACTTGACTTGCTGCCAGCATGAGCGGATGCCGTGGCCCGTCAATCGGTCGTTCGGAGGCTCGCTGATCGCGACACAGCCTGCCAGCTACCTCAGCGCAGAAGGGCCGTTGTTGGCCAGTGAGGCTTTGCCGTAGTGTGGTGTCAGCCTGACAGAAGCTCTCGTAATGCTGAGCTTTCAGCAGCAGGAATCCATCGTGGATCATGTTCCTTCGCAAGACGGTGTTCTCGGTCGCAGGTGCTGGTCAACTACACCGGCGCGCAGCCTGAGCTACACATTTGGGGAGCACTTCCGGCCGGCTCCTCGATTCGAGGAAGTCATCGCAAGCAGAATGCTCCGTTTGCTGTGTTACGGATCGTTTTTCGGTCCCGAGGTTTCAGTCTAAAGCGATCCCGTGCAAGCTCCCAGCTAAAAAAGCGGAGGGGAGGGACGTGGTGCTGGGTAAACGACACTCTGATGAGTTTCAGGCATCATTACACGCCGCCTATATACTGATTTTTGTTTCGGCTGCTTGCAGACAGCTTCCCCTGAGGTACTGTCCAAGCCCGGTCGCTTTGCAGCCGGCTCCTGACATGGGCAGCTCAGAGTCAGGTCGCAGAGACAAGTCATGCAGGCGCAAACCCCGAGCGATACGGGCAGAGATTGCAGAAGCCATTCAAAACACGTAGAATGCTCACCATGATACAGTGCGAGGAGGAAAAGGCTCTGTCAAGGATGTTGTCTGCTAGTCGGCTCAGCTTAGTCAACCCAGGCCCAGCTGTGGATGATGCTCCGCTTGGACAAGAGTCTGCGAAGCTATGGTGAGGAGGGGAGCGGGCTTAAGCCAGGCTTCCAGTAGCGAGCTTTTGCAGGTTCGACATACCCAACTGGCCACAGATTGCAAGACAATGTGTCAAAAGGCTCGAGCAGCATTCGCATACCCAATGATGCACTGGCTCTTGCATAACTACAGTCTTCCCATTGCACTCACGGCTTGCTTTAGCAAGTGTTCGGATTGTCAGACTTTCGCGTGCGGGGCGATGGTGGGCGGTTGGTCAGAAACAGATTGGAGGAATCGTAGGTAGTAGCGACTGCTTCCATAACACCTTGAATCACTTTCATCGATTTTGAAAGGAAAGCTTTCTCACGCAAGCTTTGAGCCGTGAGTCCGTTGTGCGGGAGTTCAATGCAGTGATCTATTTCCGCTTTCACAGCGACAATTTTTGCTCTGGAAGAACCCACCGACGCAACACAATGGCCTGGAATGCAACAACTGCCCCGAAGTCAAGCTCACTTTGGGAGGCGTCGCCGGCATTGACTGACGGCTTCCTGCAGTGTTACCTCAAGGACAGCTACGCAAACGCACACAGACCACGCACTCTGAAGGACATGCTCTAAGCTTTTGGAGCTGCGGATGATCAGCAGAACAGCAGAACTGTGATGTTCCAGATGTTTCCAGTCTCTTCCTGCATGTTGCTACAGAGGCATGACTTCTCAATACTTCTCACGAAATATGTGGATTGCAATTCACTGTGAGTCTGGGAAACCTTGACCGGCACGCCCTGCGTTTGATTCTTGATTGCATGCTGGAGGAGGCGTCAAGTGGCAGTTCGGTGGCAGTCTCGCGGTTGCATCAGCGGCACCACATGTGCAGTGGTTCCACTTCAGAGCACCACATTCACCACATCTTTCTGGCTGAAGCAAAGGCTGTTCGCCTGCGGCTTCACTGTGTGCCGCACCGTCGGCAAGAAGAGTGGAGCAAGCAAGCACTAAGTTAATTCGGGGTGGCCTTACATAAAACCCAAAGGGTGAACCAGGCGCCCTCTGGTTTTGACGTGTTGTAACCCATAATATCTACGCAAGACAACTTCATGTGGGCTTCTGCCAAGTCCGGCAAATCCGAGGAGCATGCACTGCCACAGCAGCCATGGCTTCGAAACCAGACAAGCTGTCACTCCTCAGCACCACCCGTGAACTTGACAACATGACGCCAGCTGCGTGCCACCTGCACGCCCAGAGTGAGGGGCGGACAAGATGTCAAGAACGGGGAAAAGTAAAAACCAAGCACTCGAACGCCTTCTGGCTGACAGTATGCTGCACGGCGTTTCGAGCACTCTTCACTTCCCTTGCGTATCTTTGCGTTTGCGTGGGTTGGCCGCATGAACTCAATCAGGTGCTTCGACTGCTGCAACTGCTTTTAGGATTTTGGCGCTGTTTGGGCAACTCTCTTGGTTTCTTTCATTCGCTAGCTTCATTAATCTCGCTGCCCGACATGTGGCATCAAGATGTTGGGACCGAAGCCGAACTCGAGATATTGTAGACAGATGCAGCACGAAAGACATGGAGCGAGCAAACGACGAAGTTGCCAGCAACAGAAGAATCACACCTAGTTCTGCATCCATGTGCCTAGGGCCAAACAGCTCGATTTCGTCGAGACTTGTTATTTTGGGCGTTGCACTCGTTTGTTTGACACACAAACTCTGCCAAGCATTGCGATTCGAGCATCGACATGTGCGACTGCAGCGCTTCCTAGATCCCGGGCCTCCAAGATCATCCCATCTCGGACGCGTGTAGAGCCTGGCAAGGTTTTCAAGGGCTAAGGGTGTTTAATGTCGCAGGGCTCCCGGAGTTCGACTTAAAGTTTAGAGTCTAGAGGGCTCACACAAGCTAGGGTTCGGGATTTGGCTTACCCAAATTGAATCCATGAAACCGGAGTGGCCGTAGATAAAACCAGTGCAAAGTGCCTCCACCCGCAAGCAAGCGGGTTGTGAGGCTGGTGATACTGGAGCTCATGGAGCTGCGGCGGGAGATCCATCGTTTCGGGGCCAGAAGCCTGGAAAAAGCCGTCAGAAGCCAGCTTGCGAGATTTGCAGTGGGAATCAGTTCAGACATACGCCCCGACATTTGGGCCTTGTTCTTGCAAGCCCTGGCTCGCGAAGCCCAAGCGTCCCAAGCGGATCTGCAGAACGCATTTCGGAAATCTTCGTGTAGTGACGATCTTCGTTTCGCGTACGCCAGAAGCAGAAGTAGTTGAACCACGGCTTTGTAGGAAAGTCTCTGATCACGAGTTGCACTGCTTAGCAGCCCCCTTCACCCAGGCTTGACGTACCGAATGCTTGGGAGAGACAGAGAGAGAAAAAAGCCCCTAGCAAAGCAAAGAGAGAGAGAGAGAGAGAGCCCGCGACCCTTATGCCGAGCAGAAAGAAAGAAAGAAAGAGAGAGAGCTCGGGGCTGCGGAAACTGTTGAGACTGCATGATTGAATTAGGGGTCTCGCAGGTGCTGGCGCTTAGTTTTTGTCTTGGGGAACATTGGCGACTGTTAGCATGCGAGTATGTAACACAATGCCGGCTTGAATTGCATGGCATAATGTCTGCTGGCACTTACAGGTGAAGGAGCCCTACCCCCAGCTGCCTTCAGAGGCCGTGGTCACGAGACGTCTGAAGTTTGGGGCATCGTTTGACGGTACAAAGTACTTGCGGGATACTGCAGGCATCAACTATGTAATGACTCACGCAATGGAGCCGAGACACGGCTGTTTTGGCCGAGCGATGCGGTGCTTTCGCCTAGCTCGGTGACGGAGTTGAGCTGCGCAGATCGACGAAATACTGGCGACGTGAAGCTAATGCGTACCCCAAGGGTCAAGGGTTTGAAAGGAATCTGCTATATAGTGGGCCTCCAGAATCTCTGGACATGCGCATAAGCCCTGGTTCGAAGTCAAGTAAACCGTTTCGGACTCGACGCCATTTGTGCAGGCGGCTTTGCGGGAAACGCTTCGGCAGGCCGATGAGTTTTGTTGGTGCTGACAACTATAGTAGCCCTTCGATCAGCCGACAAATGTGTCCAGTTTTTCGTTGTCCTTACAGCATGATGTCACTCATGTCTAGGGGTTGAAATAATTTCGTAGATCTGTGAATGCGCGGAACGGCGTAACGTTCGGTTTCTGCGAGGAGCTGCTTCAAGCAGTGGCAGCTTTCCGAAGCCCTAGCCTCTGTCAGAGATGCCCAGGCTGAGCTTGCCCATTGTCGGGTGTTTGCAATCTGCGAGTGGTCGAGATTTTAGTCTTGTGCTCGCAGGTTTCTTGCACACGCGTGCCATGACAGCGCCTGGAAGTGATTTGTAAAGAAGGAACTTTCCACAGCCTACACAAACAGCTACTGTGTTGCAGCTTGGTACATCTGGCCAAGGTCATGCTGCTCCGCCGCAGCAAGAAAAAGCAGCGGAAGCGATGCAACCATGACGTTTTGCATGCTGCATATTGCCGTGCATGTGGAAGTAAGCGCCTAAGCGCCGCAACTCGTCGAGAGCCATACAAGCAGCAAGTCTGAAAACGATATGGTGACATAACGTTCTTAACATGCTGATCTACCTCCGACCTGCAATTCGGCTCAAAGCCACTGTATGCGTTGGCCTCCGCTCCAAAGCGAAGCATTCGCACTTCCAATTTCCATGTGATCGCGTGTATCGCCGGCGCCCAGGCTGACGTCTTGTCGGATTTCGACATGCTACTACTTGGCACCCTCCATGAAGAATCCTCTTGCAGCCACAAGCACACACTTGCCATGACTCGTCTAATTGTAAGTCCATGTTCTGCAAATGTCCCCATGGATAGCTTGGTGATCTCGGTTCGGCACGGAGCCAAAGAGAGCTGCAAGAGTTTTTTGCAATCTTGTGCCGTGTAATTTTCCTCTGCCATGATACCAACCACTGGAGCGCGTCCGCCCAGTGTGGCACAGCCTCTAGACTGCGAGGGTTTACCAGTTTACCAGACGTTAGCCGCTTTCTTCGGGACGCTGTTGATTCACTGGTCTCAGTGAAGAAGACGTTCGACCAGTCACCGGGTCCGTTGTCCACCGAGAATCCTGTCCGACAACGTTTCGTGCTTTGGCAGGTAAGGGCGGTTTAGTTGTCCGGATCAGGTATACCACACAGTACGTGGGGCCGCTGGTTGCTGGGGCAGCACCGACGACGTGGCCGATGCCGCTTTTTCTTGAATTGGAGCATAAGCCAACGCCAGAAGCCTCAGGCGCCGAAGTTCCAGCGAGTAGTGCTGAGGCTGGAGTTTTGCTTGAATTTCCTATTGTACTACTAATCAGTAGAGTTTTCATAGTGCTTGGTTGCACCAAGTGCAAGATGGCTTCACACAATGGTTGCGACCCAGGATTCGCGTGAGCGCTGGGAGTCCTACTGCTACGGTGCTAAACTGAGCCCGCTTTGGAGTTGGCTCCGTGCAGTTCGCACAAGCCCATACATCGTGTTGGGCAATGCGAGTGGTAAAATCGAAGCCTCCGCTTGGGATCTATTCCCAGGCTGCGGTGCCGGTTCAAGGGTCCAACGGCATGCGAAGCTCTGGCTGCGCCGTCTACGCTCCCGGCACAGCCTCTCGGCAGGTGCAGCTTCTGGCATCTGGGGGGTTGTGGTTTTGGGATATCAGCTTAAACACCCAGCCTCCTCAGCTTTGTGGTTTCAGAATTTGGCCCTGTCCGGCTACGTCCTTGTTGAGGCATGCAGTTGGCGTGGCACCGCAAGAGGGTAGCTCCACTCCAAGTGTTCACGTTTCACCATTGAGAGATTGCCGACACTTGCTTTCTACCTAAGGGGACCCACAACATAAGAGTGAACTGTAAGGAAGCAGCCTGTTTTGTTTTTTTTCGTGGAGGTGCAAGCTCCGAGCATTGCAGTTTCTGCTTCGCCTGCCGCTGCTTGGTAAATTCAGAATTGCGTGTTCTTTGTGAATTGGCCCCAACAAATGGCCACAGCCACCTGCTGTTCGGCCGCCTTCTCTGAAGACTTGAAAGTTGATTCTGTTGACCCTTGAAGCACCGCATCACCCCACTGCGCGGAAGGCGAAGGTCATCACGATCTCTGCGGCAGCGGAGGCCCAGCAGGCCGTGAGGGACGCAGAGTCTTCCAGAGCTAGGCCGACGTGCCTGAAAATATGCTGTGATATCGCGGTGCTTTGTTGGTGGGCTATGCCTGATGCCCGACGGGAATCGCTGTTAAGCAGATGCAAGCAGATCAAGCTTCAGGCGCGGGGCAATGAACAGCCGATGTTTAATTTCATTGGGACAGTAAAGGCCTCGGTATGTGCGCAAAGTTAGTTGGCAAGCCACTGGGTCTCCGCCCGACAGTGGCCAGATACCGCAAAGAGGAAACTGCACTCCCCTCACGGCCCAGTCGTGATCAGATGGGCTTTAAAAGCGATCGGCGACACCTCAACGGAGCTCAAGAACATAGCCCTCGGAAAAATAACTGAGAACACGATCTTTGTCAGGGGCTGCGTCACACGCTACAGCTCGGACATGCTCGGACAGTTTGCATCATTTACCAGGTCCTGCGGACAACTTACAAGAAGAGCCTACCGAACTGAAGACTACTCCACCTAGATTTTCACAGAGTCACCAAAAACCCTGCAAGGATCTGCGAGCTGAAGCTCAATGCCTTCGTTTGCTTTCTAGAACGCCTCATCTTTTCAGAACTTCAAATTCTGTCCGACCTGGCCTTGAATGCGAGGGCCTGCGTGCGGCTTGGGATATCTCATCCATGACATAATCGGCCTTCAATCTGCTAGTAGGTCTTAAAGCCTGATTCGCAGTCGGGGGCCGCGGCAGTCAGTCTCACACCATCATGCATCGTACCACAATCGTTCCCCACTAGTGTTAGCTTGGAAACTCCGCTATCCTCTGGGCGTGCACTGTGATCGCTCGCCGCGTGCGGTTTCGGAACTGTTCTACCAGAAGCTGCAGACCTCGTTCTAATCTCGTGGAGTGCTCAGCTTTC